ACATGTTTAATAAATCTTACTTGTTTTCTCTTATAAACAGCAAAATCATTTGCATCAAAATTTATCTTCTACTCATAAGTGCCTTGAAAACAGTTTTATTTTTTATGTTGAAGCAAATCATTTAAATTATCCATTCTTCTTTTCAAATCACCTTGTTCCTTTTTAAACAATTCACAAAATTTTGTTTTTCTATCAAACTCAAAATATAAGACAGTCTCACTCTTTTTGAAGTAGTCATTTTCAGCTTTCAACTTTTTGTTTTGTTGAAAAAGATTTGCATTATCTTGAAACAAAAAATTAATTTTCTGTTTTAACTCCTTGTTTTTAGCATAAGATTTTTTCAAACTATCATGGAATTTTATAATGAAAAATTCAAGATCATCATTAGTTTCATCATTATTTTTAAATTGAAAGTTAGAAGTTGTTACCTCATTATCTTTAATGGCCATAAAAGCCAATTGACCATATTTTTCTTCCTTTTTAATTTCACCATCGGAGTTGCACTCATTCCAAGTGAATTGAAAATTATTGAATCTTGATTTTCTTCATTCTTTCTTCTTTTTCATTGGACACTCACTCATTTAATGTCCAAGTTTGCCACATTCATAGCATTTGTCACCTTACTTTTTGTTGGCCTTATGCTTTCCTTTGTTTCTTACAATATTGAATTGATTAGAATCTGAATTGCTAGATCCTCCTTTTCTGAATCTCCTTTTGTTGAGAATTCTCTTAAACCTTTGTGCAATGAGAGCAAGATCATTGTCATCAACATCCAAATCTTGTCCATCCAATGAAACCGAATCATCTACATCTTGAGATACTTTTAGAGTAATACTCCTTCGTACCTTTACATCTTCTTCTTTTTGTACCTTAGTCTTAAACTTCACCTCATAAGAGATTAGAGAATTAATAAGAGATTCAATAGGCATAGAATTCAAATCTTTTGTCTCTTCAATAGCAGTCACTTTACTTTCTCAATCATTAGACAAAGCATTCAAGATTTTCTATTTTTCTCTTCTAAGATATATTCCTTTTTCAAAACGTCTAAATCCTTAATAAGATCATTGAATCTACTATAAATTTGATCAATATTTTCATGAGGTTCTGTGACGCCCCGAAAAAATATGAGTTTGAGAACTCGGAAATTTTCTAATTTTCTAGGGTTTATTTTTTTAACGCCCGCCTTTTCTACATTTTCTTGATTAGAAAAAGTCCCCAGATAAAGTTTATGAGCAAAGATAGTTTTAAAATGATTTTTCTAGTATCGGTTAGTTTTTGAGAAATTAAGAGCGTATATTTGAACGTGGGACCCGCAAGTGCGGTAAATGTAATATATTTTTGATAACTTGTTGGAGTTTTGTGTTAAGTGATATTTTTCTACAAGGTGTTAAGAGATATTTATGGATTGGTGTGAGAGGGAACAAAGAGATAGAGATTCATTATTTAAGTGACAAGTGTCGCTTGGCCATTGGGTGGAATTTTTGACTTTTATGCCATGTCTTACCATTTGACTTAATAAACTAAAACTTTATCAAAATTTTGCTCCATTTCCAAGCTTCATGGCCGAACCTCTCTCAAGAAAGGAAGAAAGGAAAGCTTTCATCTTACTTCTTCATTTCTTGCTTCAATCAAACAATTTAACCGATTAAACTTGGATTTGCTCCATAAAAACCTTTCTCTTGGTAGTATTAAGGTGTGTAGTGAAGTGGTTTGAGAAGCAAAGGTGCTAAGTTGGGTCTTTTCTTGGGTTTGTAAGATAAGTGACTAAGGAACCTTTCCTTTGATCTTGATAATGTTCAATTAGTGATTGGTGGTGGTTGAATAAGTGATTTTATGGTTGATTTCCTGATTTTGGTTGAAAATGATGAAATTTTATTATTTTTGGGGATTTTTCTGTTTTCATATGGATATGATTGTGTGGCTATATATGATGATTGGAAATGATGTTTAAGGACTCTATGAGGTGGAAAAAGTGATTAATTGCAATCAATTTCTGTTTTGGAAGAAATTTCAGAAAATCAGGGTTTTGTGATGAACATTCTGTCCGAATTTTTAGGTCCTAGATAGAGGCCGAATTGGCCTTTTCTTAAAACATGAAAGTTGTAGGGAATGACATTTTAAAGGTGCCTACAAAATTTCAGGTCAATCGGAAAAGTGTGGAATGAGAAAAGTCGAAATTACTATTGCTGTTCTGGTTTTACCCGAAATTGAGAAGTGCGTCTGTAATTGGTTGTTTTGGCTAGAATTGCTTCCGAATTAGTTGTTGAGGCCTTCTGATGAAATTTAGCCCTGTTTCTTAGCTTTCATCTGGTTTTGGAATTTCTGGATTTGGATTTGGAGAGCCTGAGTTATGATGTTTCCGCTAGAATGCATTTTGTGAATCTGTTTTTGTGATTCTGGTGTGGTATCTTGCATTTTTGTCCTGGTTACACTCGAAACTGGGTTGAGTGACCTTCTGTAATATTGTAAACCTATCTCTTAGCTTCGAAACGGTGTATCTTGCACCTTCATCCGACAATCGTAGTGCCTTTGGTGCCATTACCGCAAAATGACGTCAAAACCTGTTTTTTTGGTTTTGAGCTTAACTTTCATTTCCGGACTTCTTCCTAGCTTGACTTGTCTTTGTACTACTTGGAGCTTGCTGAATGACTATTGGATGAACCTGTTGTTGTGTGTGTACCTTTGGGACTGGCTGAGGAAATAATGAATCAATGATGGCTGGAAAAGTAAGCAAATTTAGGGGAAGTGCTGTCCGAACTTTTAAAGGGTTTGATTGCTTTGAGTTTGTGATCTAAGACTTGGATTTGAGCAAGGCAATGTTATATGATGGATGATTTCTGAGCCATGGAGGTGAGTGACCCTAAACTGTTTCCAAAGTTACTTTTGAAATGTTCCTTGCATTGTTTCTTTGGTTGCATATCATGTGTGCGCGCATACGAGTTCTTGACATGGTTTGGCTTTAATGAGTTCTTGAGGAGTCTTGTGCTGGACACCAACGTCTCCACCACTTTCGTGAGTTTGTGATATGATCTGGAGCACCGATGCTGCTCCCCTTTAATGTTTATGGTTTCATGATCTGTTTGAGCGTTGGGTGTTTAGTTTCAATGATTTCACTGGCTCACGAGAGCAAAAATACGTGCATTTGATACTTGAATCATGACATCATGACATCATCGAAATGAATTATTGTGAAAGATATTTGATTACTGGTTTTATTTGGTTACTCGCTGAGCTTCTAGCTCACCCCAAAAATATTTTATTCCCCTCCACAGGGCTCAAGGCGAAGGCAGGACTTGTTGTGCTTATTCATGTGAATGGATGGATTATCTCGTGTATGGTTTGAATTTGGATTTCGTTTTGTGTAATAGTTATTATTAGGGATTGTAATGAATGTTTGGAATCGATCGGATGTATACATACGTTCCACGCTTGGAATTAGTTTCCGCTTCGTTTTGTTTATATGTAAATATTGGAGATTTACATTGTAATATTTGAGGTTTATTCTTGTAATATATTTGAGGATTGTAGTGAACGACTGAGTCCCGGCGAGAGCTGGGCAGGCGGCCCGCCGAACCCTGGGGTACGCCCTAGGGGGAGGTGGGGCCGTCACAGTTGGTATCAGAGTTTAGGATTGAGATCTCTGTAGTGTATCCTAGGCTTGAAGTTTAGGATACCGGACTGTGGGTTTGATTTGACTCTTGAGAGATTTGTGCGGGATGTCTTGACTTGATTGGTACAAGAGGGAATGTCGAGGACGACATTCTTTTAAGGAGGGGAGATTGTGACGCCCCTCGCTGATGTGCCACGAGACCAGGCGGCTCTCCTCTCTCAGATCAAAGCTATCTCCTAGTTCCAAGGGGAAGCTGTAACAGCCCCACTTTCCCCTAAGGCGAACCAAAGGGGTTAGCGGACTGCCTGCCCAGCTCTCGCCAGGACTACGGATCAGTTTACGTCGATCTAATACGTTCCGGAACATACCAACGCGCGCAAACAAGTCAAAATCACAAAATTAAAAAAATTGAAATTCGAAGCCGAAGATGAACAGTGCTGGACACGTCAGAATCCAGACACTAGGCCGAGAGTAGCCAAAATTTTTCTTTTGCCGTTAGAAATACGAGTTGATCCGAAATTCAACCAAATATCAACCAAACATATGTACATTGAAATACAACGTTTACAAGCCAAACGGCATACCAAAATATCCAACTAGTCCATACATGTGCAAATAGCCAATTACAAACCAACCATTGGTGGGAAACAAAACACTTAGGGTTTTCACTCTCAAGGAGCTATTCAAAAATACATTTACAAGCTCAACTTGACAACCAACTAGCACAACCTTTCCCAAAATAGTCATTTTCCTGTAAGGAAAACAAATGGAACGGAGTGAGCTAAAGCTCAGTGAGTTACTACCACATAAGCATCTAAAATCACATAAGTATAACCGTTCAGTTCAAGTATGCAAATAAGAAGTAAATACTGTAGCGATTTTTTAAATTTTTTAACGAAATTTTTTTTAGGTGTTAAATATTAACTTCCCTCCCTAATTTTTTTCCCCTTTATCCAAAAATTGTGACCTATATTACTGTATCAAAATTAGGATTACATTTTTTTCAACCCGGAAGCCAAGTTGCTTTCCACCCAGAAGCCAACTTCGCCTTTTTCACTTCATTTGGTCATCTTTGCCTCCATGTCCAATATCTACAAATGAAAAATAACAAAATAACTCAAACAAATAATATAAACGTATAATCACACCAAAATGATATAAAATACCAAAACATTGTAAAGAGTATAATAAAATGTACTTAAATTAACTAATAAAATATACTTTAAAATACGTAAAATAAACCCTTATCAGTATCCGTTAACCCAACATTGACCAGAAGGCTTAAATTTTACAGTACCAAATATTCATCCCAAATATTCAAAAAAAAGTGTCATATTATACAATTGAGAGCAAGTTCGGGCCCGTGGAAATCAAGCGTGGCAACCATATACTACTCATTTCGGTGAAGGTACATGTGATCAGCCATTGCATTTCGTAATTCCTTCCAATCATGGAGTGCTTCTGGAGTGACGTGTAATTGTGGCATTTGAGCTCCCTCAGTACCTCCGCCATCCATATTAACTTCATCCGGTAAGGAGACGTCGTATGGCTGCATCTCTCTAATGAAATTGTGTAATACGCAGCACGCCACTACAATGTTCCTCTGTGCCTCAATGGGATAGTTTTTCATAGGACCATCCAGAATTTTGAACCTCATTTTCCATACCCCAAACGTCCTCTCTATTATATTCCGAACCGAAGAATGGTGGCGATTAAATAATCCTTTCTGTGCCGTTTGTGATCTTCCTCCTGGTCCACTCTTAAAAGGGGCCATGAATCCTGGCATGTGTCGGTACGCTGCATCAACTGCATAATATTTTCCAGCCGGTGGGGTTGGAAATGCTGCATCCGGATTGGAAATAGCATCCAATAAGACACGACTATCTTGGGTACTCCCTTCCCAACCAGCTCTGACATAAACGAATCTCATATCGTGGTCACATGTGGCTAAAACATTTTGTGAAAGCGTGCCTTTTCTGTTACGAAAGGCACCCTGTTCCCCCCTTGGCACGCTTGCCGAGACATGTGTTCCATCAATAGCCCCAATGCAATCCTACATATTGAATACGTGATAAATTAAACTTGCATTTCGAAACTTATTAGTTTTAAGATGCGGGCATCTACCTTAAACCAGGGATAAAACCTTCTATTATTCCGAATCCAAGGATGAGTAGCATCCGTATCCATATGTCGGATAGCAATAGGTGCTAATCGGACTAAAGCTTGGCACAAGCGGCGCACGTGTCGATAAATGGTCTCAGTGGAATGCTGAAATCGCTCACCTAACACTCTTTGTGTCAAATCATGGCTCAGCCCATATAAAGCAATTGCCACTCCTTCCTCTAAAGTCACTTTATCACAGGGGCCCTCAATAATGTATTCACCTTCACGCAATATCCGGCAGAGTTGAATGAATGTGGGCACATTCATGCGCATGTTGTTAAGCATCCTGATGCACTTTCCCCCCAACAAGTCGTCAACCCAACCCTGACCTGTGAAAAGGCATGTATGGACTAACTGCCTTGTCCTTGGAACCTGATGTGTTTGAAAGTGCCACGATAGTATTAATACAGCAGTTGCGGCTTGTCTTGCATCATCTGGATCATCCAAATTCACTCCAAAATTTGGCGGAGCCCTAGCCATTTACGTTCTGTTTGGGCAAAACACCTGCACCTTGATAACAAGTGATACATAAGCACCAAATGAGGAACAAGCTAGGAATTTGATCATTAGAGAACCAACTCTTATATTAAAGAAAGACTCCTATTTATTATTCGCCAACTCGAAAAGTCAAATATTAAAGAAATGGTGAAACATTATGGTAAGTTTTAAAATGAATGAAACAACCAAAGTGCAAATTTGTTTCCCAACAGGGAAAACCAGCATCCATCAATCACAAATACAAATCTAGAGTCATTAAAGCATGCAAAGAAAGCCCTTCCAACTAGTGCTTAACCCCCCCTAGGCACATGCAGGCCTCAATCATCTAGTTGGCCCCCCAATCGTCAATGCATACAACTGCTTCCTAGCCTCACTCGGCTGAGTCAAAAACATCATCCGATGATCTACGGAATCAGCCAAATTAACAGCTGCTTTTACAGCTACTTTATCTGGCAAGCCTGTAAGTGCGTCCAAGGCTGCACGTGCCTTTGCCATTGAGTACGGGTCATCAGCCACGTAAATCGGCACAAGAGGAGCTGTAGTAGCAGCAGGTGGGGGAGGTGGGGCATCTACACTCTGGGACGTGCTCCGATCGGAAGCAAACGTCGCATCCATCCAAGATATGGCATTATTGTATGAGGTGCGACTTAGACCAGGCGGGAGGTCGCCGTCTTTGGCAGATGAAGATTCTGGAGTCTTCCTTTTCCCTTGCCTTTGCCTTTTGAATGTTGGGCATCCGATTTCCCAGTTGACTGCACAGGAGGCGTCATTTCATCAGTCAGGTCCACGTGCTCCGTACCCTGGAGGTTGATATTGGAGAAAGCTTGACCTTGCCTTGCTCTTATCTCGTCATTGATGTCAACTGGTGGTTGGTTTGAGTCCCTTGCGTATCGGCCTTGGGCATCCATTTTGTCAAACACCTCCGACAATATGTAGAAGACACGGCAATCTTTGTTGTGGTAAGTCTCAAAAGATGGATTCTCCTACACATTTAAAGCCAAAATTAACACAGAGGATATATCTAAAATTTTTTTTATACTTTATAAGCTTATGTGATAGAAAAGAAAAAATTAAATGGAATACCTTAATCACATCTTGCCATTTGATTTCATCCATGGTTACAGTCTGGAGGAGGGGATCCCATTCGGCCCCAGTCACCCTCATTCGCATGCGATTGTATTCTTGAGTCTGATGGTGTAAAGCATAATACTTCGCCTTGATTTGAGAAATATCAAAGTGGCATCCCTTTTTGGCAAATTTATCAACAATTGCCGGGAACACCTCACTCTTTAAGTTGCCCTTGTTAATTCTATTAGCCCGTTTTAATTCAACCAAGTACTCCGCAAATTCAACCTTTCGCTCCATTGGAAATTGGGCTCGACCTTGCCTCGATGAACCAACCTTACCGGCCATTGGTTTTTTACGCTTTATGTAGGACAAATAAGGATTAGCGAAAATTGACTATTACAGACGCTAAACAGAAATTGAATAGCATCTTAGCCCCAAAACAGATATATGGCAAAATATTAAAGTAAATCCCTTGAATCATATGCAAATAATACCAATTTCCAACCACGGCAGCCATGAAAACGGGACATACAAAATAGTTAATTCAATATATTAGTGAAAGGGTTGTGAAAAGAGACGAATTCAATAATACCTTGAAGTAATTGGTGATGCAAAGCTGTAAATCGTTCTCTCCACACTCGGACCAAGCAGTCGTAAGAGAAACAGGAAGTTTGAGTTTTCCGACTGTGAATTAAAGTGAAAATTAGTCCTTACAATATCTACCAGAAAAATACATGCAAGTGAAAGTCAAAATACCCCAAAACAAACCTCTAGAAATGGATCTAGTGCGCGGCGGCATAAACCTGTTAACAATGTAAGAATGAATGTATGCCTATATCTTAAATTAATTATAATGCAGCAAAATTACCAACCTCTATATAGAACAGGAAAATACATGCAAGGAATAAATGAAAAACCATCCACTTTACTAAGCAAACAGTAGAATTTGAACTAATTCCGCTAACCCCCTATTTCACCTAAATCATGAAGGCATGAAAACTTTACTACTACTCATGAATTAATTTGTCAAAGCCTCAATAAGCACACAATTTAAGTGAAAAGTCTTTAGAAAGGAATCCTTCTAGTTTGGGTTGCAAACCCAAGAAACATAAATAATTATAGTAAATAATAAATAAATTAAACAAGACACTGAGAAATAAATGATTTCTAGTTTGGGTGAGTGTTTAGAAGTTATACCAGTCACCACATTGCAAATAAATGATACTAGTAAAAACTAAAGGATGTAAGTTGAAGGATACTCAAGTGAGTATACAAATTTCATAGGTAGATAGGAACGTGGTGGCTTGTATAGTTCACCAACTCATCTTCAAATTGGCATCCCTATCTACCCTTTGCGTTCTTATTACAGAGCAAGAAATAATTGATTGATTTAGGTATAATAAATAGTTAGGTAAAATAAATAGTTTGCCTAATCAACGCCCTCGCTTAATTGGGACCTCAACCCTTCTATTTTTTTCAAAGTAAATAGAAGGAGCGACAACAAGCAGGAGTATACACTACTGATGGAAAGTGTGTATCAAGCGCTTCGAAACTAATTAGAAAAATCAGAACTCTATTAAAAATTTGTTTTTCTTAGTTATTAGTCTCCAAGAAATTTCAATCATAAAAAATGAATTTTTTTTATTCAGTACTATTAGGACCTCGTTAATGTACCTAAATTCTATTAAATTTACACACAAACAATTAAATTCATTATCCATTGGCAATCTCATTATTCAAGTTCATTCGTCTAAAAAATCATTGTCCAAGGCTTGTCTTTATCAAATGGAAGCTTGTCAAACTAATCTTGAAAAAGAAAAACTATTTCCAAAATCTCACAATTGCCGGGAAATTCACCAATCAAGCAAAAGAAACGCTTTCAACAACAGCAAAGACAGCAAGAATAACAAGAACAAGTAACCCAAGGGACTCCTCAGCTGAACCTCATATCCCACCAAGACCAATCAAAGCCTTTAAAACTCCTTCAAATACTTGCTCAATCTTGGCCCGGAGCAACAGAGCAACACAGAGCAATCAATTATGTGAAAAACCTTTAATCAACGCAGCACCCAAATTAATTCTCACAGACCAATGTTAAAGAATTAATTAACACATTACCCAAATTAATCAACACAAAGCTTTACCCTCTGTCCGAACTTGAGACCAAGTGTAACATTCCACTGGAGGGCAATTAACTCAGCCTTTCTCCAAATGTTGGCTTATTTAATACCAAAACAATAAAGAATCAATTAGCACAGCACGCCATACAAAGTGACTAATCAACAAAAAAAAATCCCAAAAATTGCTTCTGGAATGCCACGGTTTCAGAGGCAAAAAATCGATGCGTGCCTTCCTCAAATCTAAGCTACTGGCTGAAGGAAACTTACCTAAATGGAAGCACAGCAGAATTGTGGCAAACGGACTGGCACAGCCATTTGTCGGAGGAGGAGCAGTTGCGGGGGAGGGGATGAATTTGTTCTTCGCCGAACGTCGAGCCCTAGCTTCTCACGCGTCTACACTGTTGCAATACAGAGCTGCAGCACCAACCCTCACGCCTCACTCCAAGCTCCGATCACTCCACGTCCTATGGCCGAATTGCTCAGGTGAGCCCGCTAACTCGCTGTATAGGGCACCGCTTCCGTGAGCTCAAAATCGAGGAAAGTCTTTGCGTATAGGAGGGTACCGCTTCTGTCGGGCAAAGTGTTTTGGGGTTTCAAAACAAAAGATGCGGCAAAACGACGTCGTTTTGCTGAAAGTTTAACAAGGGAGTGAAAAAGTTTTTTGGAAGTTTTTTGGGTTCCTGTAGCAAAAGTTGTATAAAAATTAGTAGCAAACAAACTTGCTTAAAAACTTGGGTTCCAAACACCCCCATAGTTTTGGAAGTGAAAAAGTACATTTAAATCAAAGGACATGAGTAAAATATTTGTAAAACTTTTGCTCGCTCATAAAACTTTGAAATCTCCATTTGAGTCTAAGAAACGAAGAAAACGTATTTCTATTAGTCGTAAATTTCATTTTTCCAAGGGTACCAATTTCGGCCAGATTCTAACTTATATATCTCTAATAAAGAAGACTTGAATACCTTAGATAATTCAAGTTAGTTTCATCCTCAACCCTTACTCAAGTCGCGAGTACATCTACCTAACCCTCGAGCGCAAATTTGGGCAACACGCCCTTTGTATTTACCTATTTTCCACCTATTTATGGCTTCATTCTTTTCCTCAATTAGTCCCAAAATCACACGCAAAGAGTCTCATTGCAATAGCTGTTCAATAGGTTCAACGTCATACAATTACAAAACCATGCTACAGAAATGACCGGAAATAAGGTTTAAGGCAAAAAGAAAAAAAACAGGTTCGACGTCTCTTAGTGTATCGGTCACAATTGAAGCTATGCTTATCAGATTGGGGTGAGATTTATACCATTTCGAAGCTAAGACAAAGGGATACAACTTTGATGAAGACCACTCAATCCAGTTCATAGTGTATCCAAGTCAAACTCATCGTTTACAGAACCAGAATTTCACCATCGGGCTGGTTAACAGCACTGCGTTCAACTGACAATAACTCAGGCTACAAAAGTCCGATTGAGGTATTTTTAGAGGCTTTGGAAAGCTAAAAGATAGCACTACAACTTTTGTTTTTTGGCCAAATACTAATTCAATACAGATCAAGGTGAAACAAATGCGGCCAGAATGGTGAAATGTCAAATATCCAATAATTTCAAAACAAATGTTTTGCCAATTAACCCTTCATTTCCACTCAAATATAGTTTGCACAACCAAATAAACTTAACTAGTTCAATTAAACGCTTACAAATGCTTTTAAAATTACTCGACGGAAACGAGAAGGTACAAAAATCATTTATAAATCATTTTTCTTAACTCGCACGTACTAGGGTTGTCACGCCTTTTC